CTCCCCACCGCCCCGCTCCCTGCCTCTCCTCTGCCTCAGCCCCAGCCCCTCGGCCGCTTTTACAGTAGTCGCTATCAAATGTCAATTATTGGGAGTGAGAAACAACAAACATTGTAATTCAGCGCAGTCAAAACATCCTCTGAGTGTCTGAGATTGTCCGGCCTGGTGATAAGGCGATTAGGGGAACCTGCAACCTCTCCTGCCATGGCCATATCGGCCCCATCAGTAAACAGGGATGGAGACAGGGTGGCTGTGGCCCTGGGACACAGGATGAAAGGATGCCGGTGAATGGAAGCCGCCTGCAACTTCTATCCCTCCTTCCCAAGGGGACCAACCTCGCACACTCCCCCGAAGGTAGGATTGCACAGATAAGGAGCTCCGACCTCCTTCCTATCCTCTTCCAAATGGAATAGAAGTCCTGGGTGCTGCTCAGAAAGTCCCTAATGCAGCATGGAGGGAGCGTAGCCACCTGCCTGGGGCTCAGGGCTGGGCAAAGGGTGGCCTTCTGCCACCCCCCCGGGACAGTCTGCCCCGGGGGCACTTACCCCATGAGACAGAGGGACATTTGGGTCTGTTAAGCACGGGACCAGAGCCTGGCAGCCTGAAGCAGGGACACAGGGCTGCCTGCCCCTAAGTGCCCAGGAACTGGGGCCAGCCCCACAGCTGTACAGCCCGGGAAGAAGCAAAGGCTACTTCTCCTCATTTGGAAACCCTCCAATCCTGGGATCCCTGACTGCATGATGACTTCTGCCTTCTTCCCACACAGGCTTTGCAGTGGAAAGACACACAGACTTCAGCAGGTGGTAGAGAAGCAGCAGGTTAGCCAGAAAATATTGCTCAAAGAGAGCCAAAGGTGTCTGCTTTCTGGAGACCCCTAGGCAAAGAACATGGGAGGGGGCAGGAGAAAGCTAGGTTTAAACGCTGCCACTGTTGGATGCTGTGGGGGAGTGGCAGTTTGGTGCCTCAGTTTGCCTGATCTGTAAAATGGGCACAGTGCTGCCATCTCACTCCGTGATGCTGGCATCACTGGCAGTTGGATCCTGCCACTGCAGAGCTTGGCCAGGATCAGAGCTCACAGGGACCCCTCAGGAGGCAGGACAGGCCCTGAGTTAACATGATGGAAAGAATTAAGATTAGCTAAAACTTGAACCACAGCTTACAGGAGCTGGCCCTGAGTGGGACCCTTTATTAAATGGTCTACCAAGATGGACTCCACTGAGACTCCAGGAAAAAGTAACTCCACACATCAACACAGCACCTCTCTCCACATATTCCAAACATCCTTTCCCTTCCTCAGATCCCTTAATTTCCTCAAATCTGCTTATTTTCCTCCCATAATATCTCAGAGCTACAGCTATCAGGGAATCCAGCGGGATTCAGCCTGCTGTTGCTCTGCAGAGGCTGTTCTGGGCACCGGCTCTGGGTCTGATTTCCAGGACTGCACTGTGCTCATTCTCAAGAGGGATGGATGTGCTTACTACAGCCCCTGCCCACCCCGCTGCTCACACGCTCCCCTCCTCCCCACGCTTCCTCATTCCCGCGGGAACTGCTTCACAAGCAGATGCAGGGCAGGCTAAGACAGGGGCTTGGAACAGCAGCCGGAGCCTTGGAGCCAGTTCAGAAAGCGATTCAGGCCAGGGACACAGCCGCAGCTGGCTGAGGCTGAGCGCAGTGCGGCAGCCCAGCTCTGGCAGAGGCACCAGCAGCCGCAGAGTGGGGCACGGCCGAAGACCTTTCGTTAGCTGGATTATGGGGAAGTGCATGAGAGATGTATAGTAGGAATTAACCCCCAGCACACTGATTTTGGCCAAGGGGAGCTCACTGTCTTCGCATGCAGAAACACCCCATCGCTGCCAGTCCTGCTCTTCCAGGTCTGCCTCACTTCCGACTGCAGCTCCACGGCAAGATCAGCCTCTGCAGCCGGTACAACCAACAGGGTCAGGCGGCGGTAAAAGGTCTCCCTGGGACTTCCAAAGGCACTGAGGCTGTCGACACACACCCCAGCCCCATGCTCTCCTGAGTCCAATCCTCTCAAATGCTTAGAAAAACTGAATGCCTCAAACTTGGCATGTTTCTCTGCCCGAGCCTGAAGTGTTTCACAGCTATAGAGCCGTATGATAAAAAGGTACTTAGAAAAAATTATTTCAGAGGAAAGCACAGGATACTGGCATTTCCCCAGGGAAACTGAAATCAGAGATCCTCTCAGTGTTTGGGGGCATGCTAAGCAGTGTGGGAAGGAGGTTTGAATAAGATTTGCACTTGGATTTGATCTCACTGTCCTTTCCCTCTGCTTTTTTTTGGATTGCACAGCCTGGCACTGGCATTCATTTCTCTGTTTTAGACCAGCTCTTTTAGAAGAATTCAGTGCCCCAACTTCACCTAAAGGTAACAGGAGCAAGTGCAGCTCAGCACCAGTTGTCTTCTTCAGACAAGCTGCATATGGTAGGTTTGTACAAACTATTTGGAATCCGTAAAATTTGTACAGGAATAAGTCGTCAGCTGTAAGGGACTGATACCAAATCCCTCGCCTTTAGTGATTTTGTAGAAACTGAGGTAACTGTTTTCCCAAATAACACCCCTGCAGTTCCTGAAGTGCATCTGTGGCCAGAATTTTATTTCTTAACTCCAAGGAGTTTTCACACAGAAATTTACTCTCTGGAGTCAGAAAACAAGGAGATATGGTCCTGGCAGGAATTAGCTAAACGTTTCAATGTTCCTGAGAAGCCCAGCAGGAAAACAATGCATCAACAGCCCTCTCTCCCTAGCTCCCTGCTCCTAACTCATCTCTCACTGACAACACTGCAGATCAATATCAGCAGTAAGTGATTTCTTGTTAATGGGGATTATTAAGAAGAATCAACACCTTTAAAATGCTACTCCAGAGTGAGAAAGGGATAGGCTTTCAGCCTGAAGTCTGATTTTTCATTCCTGGGCGATTAGTTGTTTACTACAACACGAACTTCATGCTACATTTTGATGCAGAGGGAAATGGAGATTTCTCCTAACAGGAGATCAAGCACTGGCAATCCATTTGTGAAAGTTAATAAATCGGGGTTTAACATGGAATAAGCTACTTGAAAATCACTACCTGCCTCCTCATTTTAAACCCTGCCACTCCAGAGCATCATTCAGTAAGAAAGCCCCATTTCCCGACAAGATCATTCTCAGAGCAGCCCATTAGCCAAAGGCCTTTCCTAACCTCTCCCTAGTTCACTTCCACACCAAAGGGAATTCCAGTGGGGTTTTTCCACCAGCTTTTCGTTTCTCAAAACAGTTTGCTTGATTATCTTAGTACAAACTCCAATCCAGGCTCTACAGAGGTCTCATCCTTACTGCTTCCTTCACTTCATGGCTAGTGCACCGAGCCACACTGACTTTTGCTTCTGGGTACCAACAAGGGATCTCCTCTTCTCACTTCCCACTGCAGTCCTCAGAAAGCACAGAGCAAAAGCACCAACTGAACTGGATTATTGCTGCTGCTTCTAGCTACAGGGAAGGTTGTACTGCTGTGCCTTAGCTAACTGACTGGTTTTAAAGCACCTCTACCATTTCCATCACAGTACTGCACAGACTTGCCCCTGACTGTTGCTTGAGATGGCTACTAGAGCCGATGGGCTGGCTGGGGTGAGTAAAAATAGGTGAGAGTTTCTCTGTCTTTGAGTAAAGGAGTTACTGGAACTGCAGATCACGTACAAGCCATGTCAATGGAGTCTGGGTGAATATGCCAAGAGGCAGAATAAGACAGAAAACAAACTGTTCCCTAGAAACTGAGCAAGAGGAAAAGCTGACAGAAGCCCAGAAAAATAAAGGAGAATTCAG